TATATGATATTTAAACACCACATATAGTCTCATGAAACACGTTTGAAAACAACTGTGACATCAAAGCACGCCAGGACGAATTTAACCGAATTTACTAAAGTTTCTTTCAATATTAAATGATGATCTTTTTCAACATTCACTCTGCTTACATATCAAATAGTGATAAAATCTGTAATTAATATGTACCATAATAAAAGGAAGATCAAGTGTACGAATAATTTTTATAATCTAAGTGCAAAATTATAACTTTTGAAATCCTTCAAGTCTTGCAACCGTTAAATTGATACAGTGAACAAAATTATATCATCTCTTATACAGCATAAAATGGAATATGCACTGGCTATAAACGTCTAACGAAAGAATATTATGCAAATTATCTGAGCAATCCAAAGGCTTTGCGGTATCATTAATCCTCCAAGAATACTATGTGGGTAGGTATGTGTGTTTGCGTGTATGTATATCTCTGTGTATATAAGATGGAATACTGAACTATGATAGAATCTCACATGATGGAATACTGAACTCTTACGGAACTGTTTTTACACCAAAGCTGCCCAATATTTTTAATGTTTTCAAATCGAGATGGCAGTATGCAATTTTATATAACATTAATGCAAGCATAAAATATTAATGCTCCCGAAAAGAAAATAGTGTGATAAAGTTCTTTCTATTTTGCATTTAAAAAGTTTTTATCTGTTGTTAAACTAGTCAGCGTATGTGTATTTTTAACATTAAGTTTCTAAGGAGAATATACTATATGAATAATGCGTTTCGTAACAACAATGAATTGGTGCTAAAGATAATAATGTAACAATTATCAATAAAGTACGTTTCACATAAATTGCTTCCAGTTTACGGAGAATGTACAAATGCAATTAGCTTTATGTTCTCGGTCCAAACACAACATAAATCAATTAATTTTTTATAGGGTAATTAAAAAATATCTGGCAAAAATGTAAGGTAGAGAGGACCGAAATTAGCGATTTTTGTAATGAAAGGTGAATCCGGAAATGAAGCATTGAGCTTTCGATAAAAGCATTCTGCTGGCGTATATATCGTAATTCTTCATATGAAGTTTGAACGATATACATAGCAAAAACAGAGCATCGACATTCATTTTATGCACGGGTCTATGGATGGAAACGGAAAATCTGCTCAATGCTTGCACTCGGGAATCTTTTCTTCCTTTGAGTAGCTATATCATTTTTCTTCAGCCTCGTAGATAATGCAACGCATATTCCGTCTTATTCCGAATTAGGTTCATTCTCGTGCATCAACGCAAAGCTCCAAATTCGCATGGGGAATAAATATTTGCTACAGCAAAACGCTTTTACTTACCGGTCAACAGTGCCTCTTTTGAATAACCCTGTGTAAATAAGCCGGAGATATTTCAGTTTATCTCTTATTTTTGAATCATAGTGTATAAATAAGACGAAAATATTTTAGTGGAAATTGCTACCGTGCTTTTTTCTAACCATACAGCTACCTAAGCAAAACTTTCATGCAAAATAAAAAGGAACTAATATATGAATAAATACTATATAATATGCGTGATCTTGCTTATACATGTACTTACATTGGGTTAAGGTAACGTTTTTTCTCTTTTCTTCCTATTCAGTAATAGAAAGAACAACAACTTTCTGTTCAGTAATAGAAAGAATAAAATTAAGTTTATGAAGCCTAGATTTGTAACATTTTCAAAATGGCAGCCTCTTTTTTCACATTTAACATAAAATAAATACGTTTCTAGGTACGTGAATCCCTAAAAATTAAAGGATAAATTGCCTTTTAAATATCGTTCTTAATATATGAATGAGCAGAAGGATTTTTATTGACGGTTGCTTTATTCTGCAAATGAACACAATTTTCTCACACTTGTGTTTTAAAATTTATGTGGCATTCTTTACAAAAATAATGTAACTATAAGATCAATTTTGTATTTATATCATCAATACAAATTTTTGCTATTTCATAGTGAGGACCGTGCGCTGTAAATGCAATGACGCAGATTTCACGGAATTAACCATTTTGTGAACATCATTGTTAGCAATTTAGCGAACAATATCAACACCCAACTTAGGGATATAAATAAAACTTAGGATTTCTGGCGTTTCATCTTTATTGCAATAAATCTCTAATTAAACATTTTACGTGCTAAAGCGAAATGCATTTTTGTTCATTGACACTCATAAGACCTTACAATGGAGGAGAAACTAAGATGATTTTCTCTTACCAGAAAGATGTTTTTGTGCTTAAAAAATATAAAATACCTTTAGAAATAAATATCATCTAATAAATTCCTCCACAAGATTCATTTTTTTAACATTTCGCATTTTCATGATCTTTTCACATGAGAAACCCTCATGGGTGAAAAACTAAATGAAACTTAATATATCTTCTTCCTAGCTTTCAGCCCACCATAGTTAAATAACTTTTTATACTTTCCCCTTCTAATCTATAGCATTCTAGAACAATCGAAGTAAAAAAAGCATTAATTAGTAATGGATTGGTAGACCAGAAAAGAAATTTAAAATTTTTGACTTCCCATGATTTTCGAAACAACATCTTTTCCCCTTATCACTCGTTTTTGCAAAATACCTGAAACATGCATCAAAGGCTAAGCAAATTCTAGTACTGTAGCTCAAATGCATTTCAGTGACAGAGTAGAAACGCAGATGGAATAAATGATAATGAAACTTAACTGGCTTTGGGTGAAGGATCAAATTCCACGGTCATTCTAAATATATTGATGTGTAGAAATTAAAACTGTAATTTAGGTTTACACTATTTGATGAATGATTTTGAATTCTTACAAAAATTAAAAAATTTACGAAGTTAATTTTGAAAAGTAAATGCAGTGAGGACAACAAGACTCATTTTGGACCTTTGATGATCCATTTTGGCAGTTCTAGAATTAAAAGGAATGTTTTGTGTAGCGAAATGTTCTGTAATGGTAAAAAATAGGTGTAATCCCAATCAGTACTCTATAAAAATTAATATAAGTTGTACACTGGTGTCCAAATATTAAGCGTAATTGATGTTTATGTGAATATTTAAGGAAATCTAAGTCAAAATGACGGGAATGGAATGCGTTTATACCGTAAGAAAACAATGCGAAAGAATTATATTAATCCTTTTTATTACCCAAAGAAATAGTTTGAAAAAAAAAAAAAAAAACAGCACACACTAATAGTTTGTACGTTAGTGAAAAAATTTTAAATAGATAAGGTTATTTCACAGTTTAATAAGGTTTGTGGTCGCGTTCGGTAGCCACTCATGCTGCACAACGATTTCCTATATATGCTATGAGAGTGTGGATGAGTTGTGGAATCAAACTCCTCAAGCATTAAGAAGAGCTCTTGTCAGTTCTGGAATGGGGTTTGGTGGGAGCATAAGACTTGCAATTTGTCTCCCGAACAAATCCTACGCATGCTGAATAGTACTAAGATCAGGAAGAAAGCGAGCGGGCCACTGCCTGCGCTGGATATTTTCTCTTTAAAGGAAGTTGTCGACTAGGATGGCACGGTGACAAGGCGCGTTATTATCCATGGACAAGAATCCAGGATCGACAGCACCTCAAAGCAGGAGAATATAAGGCTCAAGAACTTCGTCTCTGTAACTCAGCGTTAACAGATCCCGTGTTAAAGACGTGAAAGTCTGTGTGGCCGTCCAGAATACTGCCTGTCCACACCATGACACCCTCTGAAGAAAACTGTTGCCTTTTCGTGATGTTTCTTGGATGAAAACGAGTTCCACGTTCTCTCTAGACAAGAATCCGTGTTCAGAGTAAACAGAGACTCGTTCCTCAAATTCGCACTGGCCCACTCTTGCAAATTCCAGTGCTGATGATTAACTCCAATTTAGGCGAGTGCGTTTACGCCCAGGCTTGAGAGAAATGCAAATGGCTGGTCGTCTGTCATGCAGACCAGCATGATGGAGTCTGCTGTAAACAATTTGTTTTGAAATTCGTAATCCTGTGGCGAGTTCTCTGGTACAACTGTCCCTCTGACATCCTGCAATTATTGCCAAATATCGGTCGTGACGAATGGTCATTACTCTTGTTCGACCTTGTACTTATCGTCGAGTTAACATCTCCCATAATGTGAAACCTCTGCTACAGTTTTGAGATCACACACTGAGGCACATTCAGAATTTGAGATACTTAGGATTGATCATCCATATTCTAGCAATCCAATAAGTCTTCCTTTCAAAAACATGTCCATTTGGCGTCTTTATGCCATCCTTCGGCCTTTATGATCGTTTAACTCTTTCCTCAGTACAAGAGTTGTACATAACCTGTCTGATCTCCGTATGGTGCCTGAAACAGTTTTATTCGCTTTCTGATGTGCGCATATGTTTTGCGTATGCCGACATCGACTGAAATGTTTTCCTATGTACACTGTTTCATTTGCAAACAATTGATTTTGAACAATTAAACTTATATTTACTCACTTTTTTCAACATTTTACGAATTATGCTTAAGTTTTGGACACCAGTGTAATTCAACTATATATGTTAGATACAACATCTAAAATTCAACCATATATATAAGATACAATGTCTACAGGTCAGGTATAAATACGAGATATTAGTGTCTACTATATTTTCTGTCGTACGATTCTAGATTCAGATACTGATCTTAAACCATTTATTGTTATTCGTTTTAACAAATAGAATTTCATAACAAATCGTCACATTTATTCATATATATGTACTGAAAAATATGGAATTTAATTCCTGTAATCCAATGGTAGCAGATTGGTTGATTAATTTTAATTATGTTTATGTTATTTGAATTGATCCGGGCGTAATAAGAAATGAAATTAAGTTGAAAAATCGAAATATAATTCGTTATATTTTGGATACTGAAGAAATCGTTTTAATATAAACCTATTTGTATATATTTTAAAAGATGAACTCCAGTCGTGCCTGCTATTGAAAAGAATAAAAGGGGTATATCATTTGGGCTGCATGAAGACAAGAGAAAATAATTCACTTACGTCCACTCTGATTCCCGGTAAAGGTAGGAATTGTCCAGGAGGCCAGTCGTTTGGAACATAACGATAAAACTCAACATCGTTCTTGTACCATTTGACTGAGTAAAGTTGCTCATCATCCAATTCATAGCTGCATGTCAGCTCCACAGATTCCCCGAGTATGGTGGGTGAGGGAACGTCAAGCATGACGATGCGAAAAGCCTTTGTCATTACTAAGGCTGAAAAGAAAACAGATAAGGCACATTTACCATAATTGTCTACATCATATGCAGTACTTGAACGTAGATTTCGTGCGCAACTTACAAGAATATTCTGTATCTGTTAATATTTCTGACACGTATTGCAGCTAAAATTCTCATAGTACACTGGTTGGTTATATTGTAACAAACTTATTACAGAAAGTAGACATAGTATTTTTTTAAAAATTTAAACTACGAGCCGATAATATGAACGTGTAGTATTTGCATTTAATTGGAGACCATAAATGGAATACTATAAAAGAGCGGGAGATGTATTTTCCATTTAACTTTATTGACAGTTTAATGCATTTTTTCCTTATATGATGTCCGATCTGCGGTGTATCTCAATACTAAGGTTATTTACTTGTAGAAGGGTAGGGGTATACAGACGACTGGAGTCACGTAACAGTGGAAGGTCGGAGATTCTTTCTTAACGCAGTATATAGCGTTCTTATGGGTCCGAGCCGATATTCATCTGATATACGGAGTGGGGTCATTTAGCCAACAATGGATCGGTGATATATGTTAGCTTGCTGAATTGATGATGACTTCCTAAAAACACTGGTTTACGAAATCTCATTGATAACGTCGAAGCTCTGGTTTCCCGCATTCCAGTAGCTGCCGGGAAATTCCGAGACACCTCCGGCCTGTATTACAGCTCATGAAAGACATTTCGACCACATTCTTTAATATGTTACGTTTGTGAATGTACATTTATAATTAAAACTTATGTTAATTTTTGTGGTGTCCCTTCACTTCAGCTGCTGTCTGAGTGCATTACCCTACGCACATGTCATTTCCGACACTACATTGCTATATGATTCTTAGTTCTTTGGGTGCCCTCTACTCCTGCTACAATTTTGTAATCCTTGTGCGGGAACACCCTATAAACGCTTTAGTCAAATCAAGGGTACTATATACTACAAGGTTTGCTCTCGTGTGACGTCAGTGACTTCTAATCTATTCAAAAAGGTTTTCCGCAAGAAGAGCCTAGTTCCAATTCGGTAGATTTTTGTGTTCATGTGTTCATGGGTCTTTTTGGTTAAAAAATCATTTTTTGCATTGGAATAAAAAAACCATTGGAGTAGCTGTTAAAATTTATTTTTACTAGACTTTTAATGAGGATAGACATTTGGAACATAAATTTAAAAAATGAATTTTTTAAATTTTCCGAAAGTTTAAAAATGTGGAGCTAAGCCCTTCTTGCAGACCCTTCATTTGCTCCCTTTGTGGGTTGTTCTCTCACTTCTTAAGTAAGTGACGTCAGCGTTTACAAGTGCCTGACTTATTTGTCTGGAGTCAAACTGTTTCAGTGACTAACAGAGGTGGCTAATATAAACAAGTTAACAGAACTAACATTTGGAACTGCATATAAAATTAATTTTAAGGAACATAGTAAAGAAGTTAGTTTTATGAGATTAGTAAAATGCATTGCAGCTACTCCAGTATAGCGTTTTAATCTAACAGTTGTGCATTCGTTGAAGATCGCATCATTTCTCAATGGAAACTTTCTTCATTTACAAATGTTTTCATTAGGGAAATTTTTTACATGGGGAAATTGATAGCTGGATAGCATAGGGATATCAATGTAAAAGCTAAATATTTATCCACGTACATTCTATATTTAAAATTAAAGTCCATAAAGAAATAAATCTAAAAATAATAGGTTCTTTAGTTGCCTGGAAGTAAAATTGGTTCGCACTAAAAGTTCAGCCAGCCAGCAGTTAAACGATAAGGCCGTAGAATAATGGTGGTTGAGTACGAGATTTACATGAAGCGCTTTTCATTTCGCAAGAAATTTTGTGTTCTGTATTTTGTGATTTCAGATTTCAAAGAAGATTTTCATTTAGCTCAAGACAGTAAAAAAAAGGAAAGTACTATTCAAATTATTCGGCATACTGTGATTTTCCGAATATGAAAATTGTTTCCTTTTAACTAAAGCATCATTAATGTTTGAGCTTATCAAATCACTGAACAATGGTATCTCAGTTCGGTTTCAAATCTCGACTAGCTGCAATATATTTCCAAGGTCTTTTTCCATATGTGGGAGAAATACGAATAAACCTAATTAAACTAAACCACTCTTCAATTTAAATTGTTCAAATGAAATAAGATACGATACGATAAGATAAGAAGATTATGGGTGTAATTTGATTATTTAGAACGAAGTATCAGGGAAAAAATAAAAGTTTTGGAAATGAAGTGTCAAATTATAGCACCTAAATTCAACGCTTTTGATGGGATGAGTTATAATCAAAGTTCATGAAATGAATTGCCATTAAGTAATTTAAATAAGGCTTTAAGAAAGGCTGGGATCTTTTCCAGCACACGATAATATGCTCCAGGCATTTTTGTTTTCTTAAAAAGATATATGCGTCAACTTGATGCTTCTAGAGGGAAAAACATAGTTTCATTGTTGAATCATTTAGACCAGCGGTTCCCAACCTTTTGACTAGCGTACCAGCTAATCAAAAATTGGAAACCTTTAATACTACCACCACCACTCTTGAACAAAGCTCAGATCGCATAAATTTACGAGTGTTAGAGAAAAATCTCAATCAGGATGTTGGGGTTTTAATTTTTGAATTTGTTAAAAACACTTTGCTTCTTTGCGTACCACCTATATTTCTCTTGCGTATCACCGGTTGAGAACCCCTGATTTAGACTATGGAAAAATGATCCTGAATATAAGATTAGTTTAGATTTGGATTATGGCAAAGCATGTGAGGGCTATCTGCTTAGGAGTAAGATTTCCTTAATGGAACTTACTTTAAGGGAAACTTGCTTGTATTGACGTCATATATAATAGGGACCACTAAAACGCATATGCAGCCAATCCGCTCGTCAGAATGTGAGTGCGAGTCGAAATACCAATGTTCAGCGGTCTTATTTTTTCGACTGGTAGGCATAAAAGTTAGAAATATCTCACTCAGTTAAGTTATTTTAATAAACAAAGAACAAAATAGATTGATACTTTTAGGAACTTCTTATCGACAATAGTAATAAATTGGAAAAAGAAGAAAACCGTTATAAGAACAGGGAAACGTACATTTAATTCATCGATGATTAATAGGCAATATGCGTGCAAATATCTTTCTAGAGAAAACTGTTTGGCGTCTAATATCCTATGAAAGAAAAGAAGCAAAGTCGGAAATTTATTAAAAGGCAAGACTGAGACTGACCTGATATAAGCAGTGTCATTTAGAACAGTTGAAATTTAGAATGAAATGTGTGTCATATGTCTATTACTTTCCAAATAGTATATTGTTTGTCGTTACAGTACTTGTTTGTCAAAGGATTTTTGTCAAGATCAAGAGATTTCCTTGAATACGGGGAACAATTATAATGCTTACTTTTCCGATTTCTATTGTTGGCATTTCCAAGTGGTAAACAAATATTTGAGTACATTAATATAACAAAGATTTAATAAATATGTTTGAGGGATTAGATTTATATATTCCAAAACTTCGATGTGTACGAGTACAACGAATACGCATTTGAGTATGAATACTAGGAAAATCAATTTTAATAAACGCAACGCACATTAGGCTATACAGATTTCATGCGTAAAATATACAGAATATGATGAAAGTTAAATATCACTAAGTGCGCAGTCATGAATCCGGTACTTTTAACTTCTGGCTGTAGGCATGGCTGGGTGGCAGGCAGGAGTAAGACATTGAGTACACTAATTTCGGCAAATCACCATCTTTATTTCTAGGCACATCAAAAATTATTTCCTTTGCAGTCAAATTAGTTTTCGATCATATTTGAATACAAATAATTTTTATATTCGCATATAAAAAGCTACGACGTCATTTTAAGAAGGGAAGCATAAGCGGCACAGAGCTGTTTGCATGGCACAAGTCAGTAAAAAAGGGGGAGGGTAGTTCTCGTGACTCAGCATTTGTACCTCCCCCGTACGTGCAGAGAGTATTCTAAGGCTATGATTGGTTAATATTAGTTTTAGTTACCTTTCTCAAGTAGTGTTATATAATTTGGAATGATCTCGAACTTGAGAGAACAGGTGAATTTAGCGGGGAGAGCACCAACTCTAGAAGGTTAATTTTGAGGTCGCCAATTATTTTTACAGCAGCCATTGTATTCTGTTGTATCTTACATATATATTTATTATTCTTCACTCTCACCGAAATAGGGAAAAATTGTTCAGCTTCATTCAGAGAAAGATTACAACCTTCTAAAAGGTACCGAAATGATTAGTAACACAATCTTTAGAGATAGAAACACTATCTCTAAAGATAATGTTTCTAATGGGAAGGCAACGAAATATACTGTATATGCTTATTACCCTCTAAATTATTTCTTGGAATGGTATTGCATATAGATTTGTTACTCTTGTATTATCGTAACCGCCTTAGCTGAAATCGCCTAAGTTCCAGAATATACCAAACTCTGTTAACCACATGTGTAACAATTTTTTAGACAACCACGCGCATGACAGATATTCAGTTTCCAACATCGTCATAGTATGCGTGGCAGCTTTTATAGAAAAATGATTTTGTCTTAAATCCAATTGAATTTTTTTTAAACTCAGTTTTAAATTTTGTGCTTGTGAGATTTTCCTATAATAGGAGAAAGAGCTGAAATTTCTACAGAAATATATTATTTTGCCGCAAAATCAGTAAAGGAACAATGCTTTGAAATCTTTCTCAAAGCGATCGCTACGAAAATTGCCCCACGACAGAAACAAAAACCCGTTTACTGATTGCCTTTTGGAATAAATATGTTGACCGTAGAATACGTATGTAATATATAGTTACGGATTTGGTATTTGAATAGCTAATGTTAGTTGAATTATAAATAAAATTGTTTTATTCCCCGTTCAGTGCAGCGCGTGACGAATATTAAAAGAAAGCTAAGCGGGAAGATTAAAAATACAAGAGCGCGTGCATTTAACATTTAATAAATAAATATCTCTTTTTGATTTCGAGAAAGTTCGAGAAAATTCTCGCGCGCGA